TTCTTATGCTGAGTGAAATATGTCAGACAGAGAAAGATAAATACCATATGATTTCACTTATATGAGGAATCTAAGGAACAAAAAGAATAAACTAATCAAAAACAGATTCACAAATATAATGGACAATTTTGTGATGGACAGAGGGGATGAGTGTGGAGGGCTGGGAGAATTGGGTGAAGTGTTAAAGAAGTACAAATTAGTAGTTGATACTTGGTCAGGGGAATTGTGAGCACGGCATAGGGAATGCAGGTAGCATTAATATGATATTAGGTAGAAGGCCAGGGAAGGGAGGGAGCAATTGGAGGGATTGTTTTAGGAACTATATAGATGTCTAACTAATGTACTGTATACTTAAAACTAATTTAAATAAGTAAATTAAAAAAATAAAAGAGTGAATGAGTGCATCCACATCGTAGTCTGCTGTATGTAATACATGTGTACAGCTTGCTTTTTTCCATTTAGTAATTGGTCTTGGAGATCTTTCCACACCACTACACAAGATCTACCACATTCTTAAAGCAAACCAACCAACCAACCAACCAACCAACCAACCAACCAACCAACCAACCAAACCAAACCCATCCTGTCCACAATTTTATCACACGGATTTATCATATGAATGTCAGAAGTACAGTTTGGGAAAACCTGTGTGAAAACCCATGTTATCAGCAGGCCTAAAATTGTGTGAAAACTACCACCAGAAAAGAGAAATGTGTGAAAATAGTAAAAAAATGTTCAGACAGATCATGCACCAACTGAAGCCTTGGAAGGTGACTATCTGGCAATGGAAGAGAATTATAATATCAAAATAGGGGAGAGGCACCTTTCAGACACTGCATGGTGAAGATAAAAATAAAAAAGAGGGGGAATTTAGGATTTTTTAAGAAAAAAGAAAAAATTGAGAACCTAAACCTCTCTCTATATTTCCCGCCTTCTGCAAAAAAGCCATCTATTAAAAGCCTGTTCTTCACCACTCTGACAACAGAGGGCAGCCTTGTACAAAAATCTTTGCAATAGCAATCTGTTAAACATTTGGGAATGCATTAAAAGAAAAATGTGCAAATCGTCCCAAAGCACTAGCTCTTTTTATAGAAACACACAGGTAAAAATGGCTTTTATCAAACACTGCCATCAAAATAAGCCAGGAAATGAGAATCCAAAAGTTCAGAGTGCAATTGCCATGTCACCCGACCTGGTGTTTTGAGGAACCACCAGACAGTTTTCCATCGTGTTCACAGCAGCACCATGCACAGTGCCCAAAAGGTGGGTGCAACCCAAGGTCTGTCACAAGATGAGGGATAAACAAAATGTGGTCCATCCAGCAATGGAACATTATGCAGTCTTAAAAAGGAAGTGCTGACACAGGCTACAGCATGGATGAACCTTGGGGACATTAAGCTTGGGGAAATAAGCCAGTCTCAAAATGACAAGTACTGTATGATTCCACTCATATGGGGTGCCTAGAGAAATTAAATTCACAGAGACACACAGTAGAAGGGTGCTTACCATGGGCTGGGGTGGAGGGGGTGAAGGAGTGAATCCTGGAGATATGGCGCTCGATGGGAGGAGTTGTCATCAGTGTCTGCAGCCTGAACTCGGGGCTCAGTGGGAGCTCGTGGGAGAGTCCAGGAAGCTACCAGTTTGGCTACCAAATTGGCACCATCACCAGGGAGCTCACTGTGACATCTGAGAGTGTGAGGACAATTACAAATTAAAAATAAGAGCCTCAATTCTCCCTGTTGCAGATGAGGGGAGAGATGCCTCCCCTCCAATTTCTTAGATCACTTACATTTTATGTGTGTTTCACATTCTCACCAGCAGGATAGTGGGGCCCCGGCTTCCTCAAGTCCTCTCCAATACCTGTTATCACCTGTCTTGTTGATGACAGCCACCCTAGTCGGTGCAAAGCGACGCCTTATGGTGGTTTTGATTTTTACAACCCTGGTGAGTGTCAGGGAGTTGATGGGAGTATCTGGAAGGTGGACAGTCCCTCAATTGGCCCACATGGTGCAACAATGGGCTGGTGACAGGAGATAAGTGAGGTTCCTTGGAGCTTGTGTGCAAGTCACTCTACAGAGGGGAAGGCTCCTGCTTGATAAGTTTCAGTTAGGAAAAGCTGGGCTGGTGGGGGAGGAGGAGCGCCTTCTTCACCCTCATCGCATCCTGTGTCTCTGCTCTAGCCCCTGACTGAGTCCTTCCCGGGTTGCAGAGCTCAGGACAGGGTGGAGGAGCCATGTCCCCATCTCTGTGTGCCCTCTTCTGTCTTGGTGAGTCCTGAGGGGTGATTTGGGAAATGCCAAGGGAAGGCAGTGGGCCATGAGACACAGAATTTTTTTTAAAAAAAATTGCATCAGCAATGAATTTGGGAGCAAGAGGTGACCTGCGAGGGCCCCTTCATTTGCTAGGTGGGACTCAGAGAGGAGGAGTATTTGTGATATGTTCGTAGCTAGGTCAGGAAATGAACACGATACTGCCTTTTTTTTTTTAATGCAGACTCAGTAATATCAGGAGTAAGTTATAGATTGAATTGAATATAATTTGATTTAACTCGTACTGGCTCAAATACTCCTGCCATCTGCAATGACATGGATAGACCTGGAGGGTATTATGCTAAATGAGATAAACCAGACAGAGAGTGACAAATACCTCATGATCTTGCTTATACATTGAATCTAAAAAACGCCAAATTCACAGAAGCAGAGAGCGGAGTGGTGGTTGTCAGGGGCTGGCGGTGGGAGAATAGGGAGATGGTGGCCAAAGGTGCAAGCTCCCAGTTACAAGATGAGTGAGTCCTGGGGCCATCATGCACAGCATACTGATTATAGCTAATAATATGGTATTAGATACTTGAAAGTTGCTAAGAGAGTAGATCATAAATATTCTCACCACAAAAAGGAAATGATAAGTATGTGACCTGATGCAGGCATCAACTAATGCTTAGGTGATAATCATATTGCAATAGATACATATATCAAATCACCATATTGCACACCTTACACTTACACAATGTTGTATGTCAATTACATCTCAAGAAAGCTGGAGAGAAAATAAAGACCCCCATCTGGCACACAGTCCCCTTCTGAAAGCAGAGATACTTCTCTATCTAGTTGTCAAAAGTGTGTGCATGGGGGAGAGGTCCTGGGAGGAGTTGGTGGGGGACAAGGAGTCACTGTTGGCTTTTAAAAAAAATCGAGGTAAAACAGTATACTTAACAGGAAATGTACCATTAACAATATTCATAGTGTGGTGCAATCACTCACTCTCTTTAGTTCCAAGACATCTTTTTTTCCCTCCAAGAGGAAACCCCACACCCATTATACTCACCCCTTGGCCCACCCCCACCCCACCCCGTGAATCGACTTTCTGTCTCTGGACAGATTTTACTCTTCAGGGACATTTCATATGGGTGGAATCTTACAGTGGTGGCCTTTTATGGTTGGCTTCCTTTACTTCAATTTTGTGCATGTGTATCTGTGAAAACACAGTGATGAGGAAAGAAAGCTAAATGCATGCACATGTCTTATCACCTCGCCCACCCAGCCTCAGGAAGCGCGGGTTCAGACATGGTGCCAGCCTTCTGTCCTTTTCTTCTGTCCTCAGGGCTGTGTCTGGGGTGGCTGACACGAGCTCATAACAGTGAGTTGGGCACCCCCTCGGGCTCAGTCATTAAAGGGCGGGAGGGGTGCCAGCAGAAGGCGCTGTCAGAGGCTCACCTGTGCTCCTCCTGCCTCCGTCCCAGGCCCACTCCCCAAGCCCTCCCTCCAGGCCCTGCCTCGCTCTCTTGTGCCCCTGGAGAAGCCAGTGACCATCCTCTGCCAGGGACCCCCGGGCGTGGACTTGTACCGTTTGGAGAAACTGAGATCTGGGACGTACAAGAACCAGGCTATCCTCTTCATCCCGGCCATGAAACAGAGTTTTGCAGGACGCTACCGGTGCTCGTATCAAAACGGGTCCCGCTGGTCTCCCCCAAGTGACCAGCTGGAGCTGGTGGCTACTGGTAATGGGACAGGAGGGGGTGGGGTGCGGCTGGATGGGCGGCCTCAGTGCTATAGAGTCCTCAGTTCTAGGCTCAAAGAGGATGAAAATGGGGATAATGATGACAGTAAATGGCTGGAAGGGTGGGGCTGGGGGAGGTCAAAGGGGGCTCTGGCCTGGAGTGTTAAATTTAGGGGAGGTTCCCCCAAAACTCCTCCGCCATCAAGGATAACTAACATGGTGAGGTAACATCTGTTGGCAAAAGTCAAAATCGATGCAAAAGCATCCACAATGAACAAAATATCACAATGTAAAGACAATTCTAAAATGCCGTTGCAAGATGTAGCCACGCTTGACACAAAAGGAAAATCGTGCACGCCTTTATCCACGTGCTAATACACTTATTTTTTGGTGGAATAAAATGTCCTCAGCTTATGCTTTTCTTTCTAATGCATTTTTAAATGGTCATTTTACAATGTAGATTTCGAAAATATCATTGAGTTTTGCTTCCACAAAAGCCAGGAGAGTAAAATGATAAGAAATCCTGTTTTTTTTTTTCTTGGTATAAATAAAAGATTTAAACTTAAAATAATGTTGTGAGTTTTAATTATACTTTAACACTTTTGAATATTTTTTTGACTATGTGGAAAAAATTTACCATAAAAAGTACATAGGAGGGTTTGGAGCCTTTGCCTCAAGCTTTAACATAGCTCCACCAGGCACAGTTGGATTTTGTTTGTGTCTAAAATCTTGATTTTTTTTCACTGTGAATGTGTTTGCATTAATTTTGATTTAAAATTGCATTAAAATAGTATTTATCTTGATTACTTAGGTTTTTTTATGTGTCCCTTTAAATTTTTACCCAAGGAGAGTACCTTGCTTGCCTCACACTGATCCCTGACCCATGGTCAGTGGTCCACCAGGCCTTGTATCTGCTTTGCATATTGACCCAAACGCTCTCTTCTCACCAAGTATTTGTCACCACCCTATCTAACATTGCACCCTGAATTAAATGGCACTATCTGGTGTGCCACACATTTGCTTATTTATCTTAGTGATTGTCTATTTCTTCCCAATGAGAATTTTATTTCCTAGAACAGAAGAGTTGCTAAGGGAAAAAATAATTGTTGAATGAATGAGCCACGATTATCAGGCAGGTTTTTTTTGTGGTGAGCCCTGTGTGCCAGGTGTGGTCCACGCTCCATGACAATAATAATACCAAATTATATAGTAGTGCAAGTTCATTTTGGGGAGCAGAGAACCTGGAGCCAAACCTCGTGATTGCAGATTTCAGCTTCTGCCTCATATTATCTTTTGACCTCAGACAAGTTATTTAGCGTTGTGTGCCTTAATTCCACTGATAAAATAGGGATATTCGTAGTAATGAAATCATAGGTTTTTGAGAAGATGAACTGATATATGTCATGAATATGGAACAGCATCTGGAAGCTGGCACTTTAATGCGAGTTTACAATGAATGTAACCGTTGTTCACTGTAACACAAGCTTATAATGCAAGCTTAAGCTATTTTGTTACTACCATCATATTTTGAGTGTTTGCTATGCATTAGGTACTCTGCAAAATGCTTAATACATATTGCTTCATTCAAGCATTCCCGTTTTATAGTAGAGAACATTGAAGCACAGAATTAGGGACAATTTCTCTCCAGGATCACACAGCCTCCAAGCAGCAGAACCAGGATCTAAGCCTGGGCACTATGCTATGACCTTAGTCATGCATCCTTAACCACTTTGTGAGCTGGTGGCAGGGAGAGTGGCTTCTCCAGGATGGATACAGCTGGAAAGTTCCCAGGTCTTGGGGAGCTGAGGGGACCTTCCCACCCCTTAGCCAAGATGTTGGCCATGGTCTTTAACACAAGAGTCCCCTCTCTCCCAGGAGTTTTTGACAAGCCTTCGCTCTCAGCGCAGCCCGGCCCCGTGGTGTCCCCAGGAGGGGTCGTGACTCTGCAGTGTCGGAGCAAATATGGTTTTGACCAATTTGCTCTGTACAAGAAGGGGGACACTGGGCCCTTCAAGGGATCTGAGAGGTGGTACCAGGCCAATTTTCCCATCATCTCGGCGATGCCCACCCACAGTGGGACCTACCAATGCTACAGCTTTTCCAGTATATCCCCGTACCTGTGGTCGGCCCCTAGCGACCCCCTGGAGCTCATGGTCACAGGTAAGGGGGTGCAGACCAAAGCTTTTGTCCTCAATATGCAGCATCTTCTTCTTTACACATACACACGTGTGAGAATAATATGTATATATAGTAATTTGCAGAGCAAACAGTCTTAAGTCAAAGATATGTCCATCACATGTATGATCGTTACTTTGGTAAGCGCAGTGTTGTTGGAACAGAGAAGGGGAGATGTCTCTGAGCAATCACTGTGATGTGACTCTTGGGGCAGAGTGCAAACCAACTAGGTGGGTGGAATAGGTGGGGTGGGCTGCAGGTGGATGGGGTTGTGTGAACAAACACCTTGTGATAGGATGAAGGCTGGCATGCCCAGCATGGCGGGAAGGCTGCGGGAGGTGAGGAGGGGCTGTGCTTTGTTCTTTAGGTACCCCCTTCCCTCACATGGTGTACCTGCCCCCCCAAGCTTATCCTGCTGTTCCTGTCCCCTCCTCTTCTTCCTGGGACCCAACATCTCCCAGGAACAAAGTAGGGGTACAGGTCACAGAGATCTAGAAAAAGAGCAGAATTGAGGTTCAAAAAGCAGAGACAGGGCTTGTCCTTATGAATTAGCCCTAGCACGTGCTAGGGGTGCCTTTCAAATGCCACTTAACACACATGGCAGTTCAGTGATATAAGCTTTATCTTCATTTTCCAGGTGAGGAATCTGAGTGGAGAAATGTATTTTTTTTTTTTTTGCTCAGAACCAACAGCTAACAGAGCACAGAATTCTCTCCTTTTCTGATTTCTCAGGGACCTCTGTGACCCCCAACCAATTATCCACAGAAACACCTTCCTCTGTAACAGGTAAGTCCTGGGGGATTCACCTTTGAATGTCTGGTGTCTGGGGTCCAGGGTACACGGACCCTTTCTTTTCTTTCTCCTCTTTGTCCAAATTTCTCAATTTAACTCACTTGTCTCTTTCTCAAGTTCGCTTTATTTAAAAAATCCCTTATTTCTGCCCATAAAGAAGGTGGGTATAATAAGTAGATAGATTTTACTATGCTGCCCCACACCCCCACTTCTATTCAGCCTCAGGGGGTTGGTTTATAATATCTCATGTGTAGAATAATATCTGAGTAGCTTATAAAATTATAGGTTTCTGGACTCCATGTCTGAGCCTCCGATTCCATTGCTGTCATCCTCAAATATTAGCGGGCCTGAGTGTAACCTGGACGGTTTATAAAAGGCAGATTTCTGGACCCCCCAGAGTTTCTGATTCAGAGGTGTGGGGTGGGGTCCAATAATTTTCCTTTCTAGCAAGTTCCTAGGTGATACTGGTGCTTCTGGTCTGGGGAATGCCACTCTGAGGACTGTCACTTTAAATTTTGTGTGAACCACAGTGCTCCTCCATTTTCAAAGGCACCTTAGCTGATTCTGGTGAATCAATCACATGACAGCCTGTGCCTTTGGAAATACTGTGCTAGGCTTTGGCTTCTCTGACATTTCCTGGGTCTTAGCGTCGACCCAAATTCCAAGGAACCAGAAGCATGTTGAAAAGACCCAGACTGAGTGTGCCAACACCTGAGGATGAGGGCAGTATGGTGGCTGATGGTAAAGGAGGCACAGCAGGCAGGTGGGCGTGCTCCTGTGTGTGTTTTTGATTGGAATTTTTGAATTTTTTGAGATCTGGATTTATGAGAAATTGCAAAGATGATATGAAATGACCCCATGTGCCCTTTGCCTGGGTTTCCCCAGTCGCCACATGCTATTTTAGTTTAATTTTCATATCGACCTACAAGCATACAAGTGATGTAATTATTTTCAGTAGACGGATGGGAAATCTGGCTCTTGGATGGTTAAATTCTTACCAGAGGCTCTGCATTTAATAAGTGGTGGATCTGGGATTCAAACCTCCACAGCCCGATTCTATAGGTCATGTTCTTCTTATGGCCACAGAACCCTAACTCTCAAATGTATGTGTTGAGGGTTGAGGCAGGAACGGGTAGGAGGGGATGGTCCCAGCGCTTCACTCTTACCCTTTTTGATCCCCAGAGCCTTCTAGAAATATCACCATCTTTCCAAAGGGATCAGGCTCTCCAACTGGTGAGTAAGTGGTCCTCTGTGGGCCTTCTCCCTTCCCGCACCCATGTCTTCACCTGAAGCTGATGGCCTTCCCCATACGGAAGCCACGGCTCTGTGATCCTGGGCCCTGGTGTGCAAAGTTGTAAGGAGAGGGGAACTGTTAGTACATGGAGTTCAGAACTGGGCAATAAGACTAGGTGGGAAGGTGGAGATATTCTAGAGAAATTCTCTCTTCCCTCACCCCTTATAACAATCTTCTCTTCCATGGTTAGCCAAATAACCAGGTGGTGTCTGTGTGTGGGGAGGGGAGTATGGAAGAGGGTATACTTAGGGAATTGGGCTTATCTAGCTCCGACCCTGGCAAAGAGGGAAGGGACCCTTTAGGAAGGAGACTGGAAGCCTAGCTAGCAGTGAATGATGGGATCTCAGAGGAGAGATCTGGCTGTAAAAAACCCAAGACGTGGCTTGGAGTGGGTCCTGGAGCAGGGCTCCTTCACTCGCTTCTGTCTCTTCATTCCCCAGGTCTTGCTGGCTGGCAGTACTCAAGGGGCAATCTTGTCCGCATATGCCTGGGGGCTGCAGTCCTAATACTCTTGGCGGGTCTCCTGGTGGAGGACTGGCATAGCCGAAAGAAGCCCCTACTGCATCGGGTCGGAGGCATCCACAGGCCACTCCCAACCCACCCGAAGACCCAGAAATCACACAGTTGTCAGGACAGGGGGCGACCAGACAGTCCTAACCTTGAGGCCACTGTTAGAACTCCAAGGCTTGATGGTATTTAAGAGGCAAGTCATGGGAGTGGGGAGGGGACTTAGAGTGTGTGTAGAGTGTGAGAGCAAGAGGACAGAGGCTATGGCTATGAAAAAGGAGGGCCAGGAGTGTCTCTTCTCGGGGCTCCAATAAGGAGCTATTGGGTCAATGTCCATTTGGCTTTCTGTCCAAGGACGCCCTGTTTGGGACAGAGGGAATCCAGTGGACGCCGAAGCCTCCTCACTGGTGTCTTGCACATTGGGGATCTTAAAGCACCCTCACCGGATATCATACTGACCTCTTTCTTCTACCTTCTCTAATATGGGTTCCAGACTGACCTTGACGTATGGTCAGAATCCATTAATAAATGCAACCTCCTTCATGAATGCTTCCACTTTTATTTCTCTTGACATGCTCGTGATATAGACACTTCATCCATAACAACATTGAGTGACTTGTGCATGTTTATGTAAGCCAGAGACACAACCAAATATCACCTGGCTCAGTAGCTAAAGTCACTGAGAGGTTTCACAGGAAGTTCATCATTTTAAAGATCCATCCATGGCTTGACTGGAGAATGAGTGACTCCAGGGGGATTCAGAAAATAAAGTCATGAGAAGAAGGTCTTTTATTTTTTGGGTCTTGATTATCTCTCTCAATAGTCAGATGTGGGTTGCTTTCTTTGATTTCTTCTAGAAGCCTCTGGAGTTGAGCATCAGATTTATCTATTTTCAACCTGGTAGTATGATGGGGGATAAAAAAAGATTTCTTGTTGCTTCAAGGAGATTCACTTCAAACCCCCAAGTACCTGTAAGTATCTCTCATACTTTAGGGATTTGCAGAGTAGAGGCCACCTTTGCTTATTATTCTACGCTGCCAAATAGAGTTCCATATCACTTTGATAGGGAAAAAGAGATGATATCACATTAACATTGTAATGGTATAAAGCCGTAGTGTAGCGTTGGATGGTAAGAGACAGAATTGATAGATGTGACATAGCTATAATACCTACCTACTCTGTAAGTCACTTTGATGACTTCTACTAGGTGGACCCTAGTAGTATGAGACATCCACACTTAAACCAAGTCAGCCAGACAAGCTTTTTATCCACCCTGGCAACGTGATACTAGCTAAAAACTGCTTATTTACTGTACAATGGATAGCAATCTCATTTCTAGTGTTCGGCTCTTGGTAACCATATTCAGCCATGCATATATGGAAATGGGAAGAGGGAGAAGGGAAGGCAAAATTAAAGCACAAATATGTATTAAAAATAAGAGACCAATGATATTAGCTGCCATGTTTCTCATTGGCACTGTAGTCCTGCTAGTGTATTAATTATTGTTTTGTTGTTCAAGATTCATGATACATCCATGTGCCAAACTTTTGGTTATAGGATGAATACGTTCTGAGGATCTAATGCACAGCATGGTGACTATAGGTAACAATACCCTATTGTACACTTGAAATTTGCTAAGAGAGTAGTTCTCATGAGTTCTTACCACACACCAAAAAAGGTAACCATGTGGGGTGATGAATATATTAATTGGTTTGATTGTAGTGATGACTTAATGTATAGATATATCAAAACATCACACTGTAAACCTTAAATATATATAATTTTCATTTATCAATTATACCTCGATAAAGCTAGGAAAAAAAAAAAACCCAAAGAGTCCAACCTACCCATACAATCTTAAACTAGCTTGAGTAGATATCTTGTCAGCCATTGAAATAACTTTGGCTAGAATAAGGGCCAACTAGCTTCAAAATATTTTAAACATGACCCTCCAGAGTTAAATGTAATTGTGTTTATGAATGATTGTTAGAGGTTGGTCATGGTCCATTGCCAAAGAACAAAATAATTCCCACAGAAGATCTGTGTCTAGCCAAAAGTGTTGAAGAAATGAAAAACAGGTGTGAAGAACCACACAGAAGATCTAAATGTGTTGCTCTAAGAATGAGGTGTGATGTTAGGGTTCTTTGGCTGTGAGCAAGAGAAAGTGACTCCAGTTAATGTAGAAGGGCTTATCAGAAGGATATGGGGTAGCTAATAGAATCAAAGAACTAAGCACCAAATCTTGAAAGTGCAGGGCTGGGGCATCTGTGCCTTTCTAGAATCTACGGTTCAGAAACAAGGTTCCCCCTTGAATCACTCATTTCGAGATTCAAAGGCCCAGGAAAGAATGTCTGACTGGTCTAAGAAAACAGCTCCAATGTTGTCTTTGTGAGGATTTGACATCTCGTTCTGAGTTTTATGGTTCTTTGTTGCCACGGTAGCAAGTAAACAACAGAACTCAATGACAGCTGGCTCTGAGAAGCCAGTGAATGATGGCCTGTTGGTGATAGTGTTTACAATCACAGACTATTCTCATTAGACAGTGGACTTACTCCAGAGAACATGCTTCTAAGGTTGACATTGACCCTCTGGACCTCTGTAGCCAATACAGCTTTAAAACAAACTCTTTGTAAAAGCACCATATGAGAGCTGCAATTTGATTCTCTAACGAGACAGTGGTTGGCCACCCTAACTCTCTCTCACTCAGATGAGCCCTAAATCCAGCTTCTTGGTTTCAGATTGAGTTTTAGTCTCACCTTTTGGCTCATCTTACCCGCCAAAGCAACAGAAGGAATAGACCTTAGAGTTATCTGGTGAGCAAACATCAATGGACAAAAACTGAATGTTCACAATAGATGCCTACAAAAAATTCCTATACTTTGTACTCCCCCAAAGCCTATGATCACAGAAAAAACACTGTATGGCATGGAAAGATGATACCTGAGTGTCCGGAGTGGGCAGCTTTGACGTTTCAGCGCATCACACAGCATCTTTACTCCACTATACCCCAAGGAATTCTGGCCCAGGTCAAGAGTGATCAGGTTCTGGTTGCTGCTAAGGGCAGATGAGAGGTCGGCACAACTCAAAGGGGTGATGGCACATCCCCATAACCTATGGGAAAAACACAAAAGTTCATTATGTACAACCAGTGCTTACTAGTACCATCCTATACACTAGGCACGCTGGGGGGTGTTGGGAATCCAACAATGTCTCTCCTTCAGAGTACATCTGGTAATGGGAAACAGCAAGGAATGCAGTGTGCCCTATATGAGTCAGGGTTATGAAGGGCAAGGGGTATAGGGAACAGCTAGGAGTGCTAGCTATAATGCTTGAGGAAGATCTGAAGGGGTAAAGAGAATGAGCGTAGAGATATCTGGAGTAGAAGCTCCCAAGGCAGAATAATAGCTTGTACAAAGGCCCTGGGGTTGCATATGGTTAGCATGTAAAACAATATCAAGGCAGCCAGCTTGAGAGTGAGCCAGGGGGCCTGCAGGAGATGAGGTCATGGATAAGAGGGGCCAGCTCACATAAAGCCCTTAGGCCATTGTAAATTTAGAATTTTACTCGGAATGAAACGGGCGACAACAGATCAGAAGTGTGGCAAGAGTTACACCTTCAAAGTTAGTCCTACTGCTTGGTTGAAAAACTGTAGGGGAAAAAAGAAGGCAGAATACAGACTAATTTGAAGGTACTAGAGCAACCCACATGTTATTAGGATGTGTGTGGAGTAGAGAACAGATTCTAGATATCTTGAAGGGGTAGCAGGATTTCAAAAAAGGATTGGACTTGATATTTGAAATGAAAAAGGAATAAAATATGATGCATGATGGATTTTGTTCTCAGTAAATAAAATAATCTTTTTAGGTAAGAGAATAAGTCAGGCATTTAAGTTTACTCTAGGACTTAGAAGAGTCTAAACATAATATTAAACATTACTTCCTGGCATATGGTTAAATAATGCATATGCATGTTTCATTATTATAATCATCTTTTCTGATGGATATGACTATTTCCTAGAATATGTAACTGAGATCATATTGCCAGAAGTCACAGCTGACCGGATGAAGCACAGCCACCCTTTTCTATGCCAGCAATGCATGTGATTGAGAGGCTGTCATCACCATTGGCATCACTGCTCTTGCATACCAGGTACATACCAGGTACATACCAGGTACACAATCCCACTGATACATAACAGGTACATACCAGGAATGATAGCCACCGGTGGTTCCCCACCATAGCGTTAGCTAACATCTCCTTCTCGATACACAATTATCAGTGTTTTGTGGTGGAAACATTGATTTTCTTCTTTCTCATGGCGGAATAGTATTCCTCCCTTACTCCCTTCTCCCTCTTCCTTTATCTCGCCCTCTCTCTACTACATCTTCTTTAGCCATTCATCTGTTGACAGACACTTGGGTTATTTATACACTTTGGCTACTATGAATAATGCTGCAATAATCATTAGGGTGCAGATATCTCTTTGAGATCTTGCTTTCATTTCTTTGAGATAAATACCCAGAAGAGGGATTGCTGGGTCATAAGGCAGTCCTATTTTTAATTTTAAAGGAATTTCCATACTGTTTTCCATAGAGGCTGCACCAATTTGCAATCCCACCAACAGTGCATGAGGATTCCCTTTTCTCCACATCCTCGCCAGTACTTGTTATTTGTTGGTTTTTGATGATGGCCATTTTGACAGGAGTGAGGTGATATCTCATTGTGGTTTAATTTGCAATTCCCTGATAATGACTGATGTTGAGCATCTTTTCATGTACCTGTTGGCCATTTGTCTGTCCTCTTTAGAAAAACATCAATTCAGGTCCTCTGCCCACTTTCTTATAGGGCTTCTCCTTCTCCCCCTCCCCTTCCTCCTCCCCATTTTTCTTCTTTGCTATTGAGTTCTATAAATTCTTTATATATTTTGGATATTAGCCTCTTATCAGATATATGATTTGAAATATTTCCTCCCATTCTGTAGGTTGCCTTTTTATTTTGGTAATTGTTTTCTCTATTATAAGAAGCTTTTTAGTTTGACAAAGTCTCACTGGTTTATTTTTGCTTTTATTGCCTATGCTTTTGTCATCCCATCCAAAAAAATCATTTCCAGAGCCAATGCCAAGGAGCTTTTTTCTTGTTTTCTTCTAAGAGTTTTATGGTTTCAGGTCTTATGTTCAAGTCTCTAACCCACTTTGAATTTATTTTTGTGTATAGTGTATGGGTCCAATTTCATCTTTTGCATGCGTTTATCCAGTTTTACCAACATTATTTATTAAAGAGACTATCTTTTCCTCATTGAGTATTCTTGGTGCCCTTGTCAAAGATGAGATGAACATACATGTGGGGGTATGTTCACAACTCACCACAGACATCTGGGCTCTTTACTCTGTCCCATTGACCTGTGCATCTGTTTTTAAGCCAGTACGATACTGTTTCAATCATTATAGTTTGAACAGCAATATAGTTTGAAATAAGGAAGTGTGATGCCTCCAGCTTTGTTCTTTGTCAGAGTTGCTTTGTCTATTTGACATCTTTTGCAGTTCTTTATGAATTTTGGGATTTAAATTTTTTTTGGTGTGCGTGAAAAATACTATCCTATTGGATTTTTAAAAAATACATGGGTGGCTCCATAGTGTAGTGGTTAGAATGTCTGCTTTGCATGCAGAAGGTCCTGGGTTTGTGCCCCAGGTGGAGCCATGGACCATACCCCGGGTGTGCCAGGCCCCGGGTGCTCCAGGCCCCAGGTGCACGCCTCAAGCATGTGGGAGGGAACACCTCGCCTTCAGAGATCCAGTTCTTAAGGGGAAACGGCAACATCCATGAGTCAGGAGTGGAAGTGGGAGGTATCACGCTTCCTAATTTCAAACTATATTGCTGTTCAAACTATAATGGTTAAAGAGGGGGAAAAAATACATGATTGAATTTATTTCAGTCTTTTGTATTAGAGCTGTGAGGGAAACGTGCTACACTGAGATTTTGTTTCAAATACAGATTAAATTTAAAAATCACAACTCACCACAGACATCTTAGGTTACACAGCGGTGTTTTCAAGGACTCGCACAGAAACTTCAGTCCAGTAATTCCGATGTGATTTAGCCCCAGGTCCAGGTGTGTAAGGTTTGAATTTTGTTGGAGAAGCACTGAGAGATTAACGCAGCCATCACTAGTTATGTTGCAGTAGTACAGCCTACAAATTATTCACACGAAGAAAAAAAAGTATTAGTTCTCAATGGTGTGATCCATCCAAACCATGATCGTTGACCTCAAGTCATAGGTTTCAGACAAACTTAGAGACAATGGACACATGGAAATGAAATCATGGGGTGGCGTGGCAGACAGAATAATGTCCTTCTTGTCCCCACCAAAGATGTCTGCATCTTACCTTCTGGTCTCTGTAAATACGTAATATTCCATGAAAATGGGACTTCACAGACATGATTGAGTTAAAGATCTTGAGATGGGGAGACTACCCAGTGGGCTCAATGTAATCACAAGGACCTCTTATAAGAAAGAGCCAATAGTTGAAACCAGCAGGGAGAGATGTGATGAGAGAGACAGAGGGAAATTTGAAGATACTATGTACTGGCTTTGAAGGTGGAAGAAGGGGCCACAAGCTGAGGGACACAGGTGCTTCTAGACACTGGAAAAGATAAGGATATGGATTCTCCCCTGGAGCCTCCAGAAGGAACATAGTCCTGCTAACACCTTGATTTTAGCCTCGTGAGCACTCCACCCACCATTGCTGGCTTTGAAGATGGAAGGAGAAGACCATGGACCTAGAAATGCAATGGCTTTTAGAAGAAGGACACAGGGACCTCAGAGTTATAACCACAAAGAACCAAATTCTGTCAACAACCTGGATGAGCAAATAAATGGATTTCTTCCTAGAATGTCCAGAAAGAGACACAGCCCCACTGACACTTGGGTTTTATCTCTGTGAGATGTGTATTGGACCTAAGGAACTATAAAATTGTGTTACACCAATGAAGTTGTGATAATTTGTTACAGCAGCAGTAGGATACCCGCAGAGCTGCCTTTTGATTTTAATAAACTCTAAATGACTATACAGACCTTGGCTTCTACAAAGACTCCCTGTGGTATGGCCAGATCCCAGGGAATAATGGCCATGTGATATATCCAGGGATGTGGGACCACAGGCAGCTTTAGTGTCTTTGTTCCCCAGCAAGGGGCCATAGGGCCTGGAGGGACAATAGGGGTGGACGACATATTTGAGGCTGACCTACGTGCACCGAAAGAGACCAATATGGCCTGGTAATTTATAAATTTATAAGAACTTCCGTAACTGTGGGGTAACAAAGGAAGCCCCAAGCAAATTAAGCTTTGAACACTTAGCAAAATAGGGAGGTGAGTATGGATTACAAAAAAACAAACAAACAAACAAAAAAAAAACAGTTGAGCTTTAGGAAGAAAAAAGTTTATCTGTGTTTTCTGAGATTCATACCTTCTACAGGGAGGCAAAGTTGATGAGGTTTAATGTCTAAGCTTCTGTTTTCTTGTCTGCAAACTGGGAGAAATGAGGAATTGTTTCATGAGGCTGAAAGATTCAATGGAACAAAATCTGGCCAGCATAATGTCTGGCACATAGTAGGTGCTTAACAAGTGTTGACCATCACTATTTTATTTTTCCTTTGCCTTGGATGGAAGCAACTTTTAACATAATTTGATTTGAAGAAAGGGCTAGTGGTTGAGTAGCATCTTATCCTCTATGGAACTTTATATTGTTATAGGGTTTGGGGGCTTAGATAGCTAGGGAAAAAATCCTTTCCTTCTCCCTCTCTAACTGTGAACTAAATATTGCATGAAATTTGAAGTGCATGCATATTTATCAGAGACTGGGTGCCTTAAGGTACAGCTGAAATTAAACCTAGTTTATAGGAAAAGTTGACAGTTACTAACTTTTGGTGGTGGTTTTGTAGACAGCAAGAACACCAGCCATATTAACGATGATGAGAATCTCTGAATAGAAACAGTGCAGCCCCAAGTCCTGCCTAAAAATTTGTCCTATGATTTCAGCATTTACAGGTGGGTTATATTAAGCTTATTGGCAAATAACATCATCTACACCCAACCACAGGTAGAGTTTATGTTATAAAGTTCCAAGAACACACACACAAAATCAAACCTGGAAATAACCTATATTCTCCAAATTCATATAGAATATTAACACCACTTGTAACTTTTTTCTCTTACTCTCTCCCCAGGTATCACCAGATCTAACCATCAGCATTATATTTGGGGTATTCAGAGAAATTATTAAGTGCTTGCAGCTGTCCTACGGAATCCTGTATATGCACACACACACATGTGCACAGCCAACAGGGACTTACACCAGGGTCTGTAGCTGACATTCGGGGTAACTCAAGCCCTCGCACAGCAGTTTCACCCCATGATTCCCGAGAGCATTCTTGGCCAAGCACAGGTGTGTCAGCCTCTGGTTGACAATCAAAGCAGAAGAGAGCTCCTTGCAATAGGCTCCTGTAAGATCACAGTCTTCCAATCTGCAAAAGCACCACACCCATGGCAAGATGGTGAGAACATCTCCACAGCCCAACTTCCCTGGCTGTCTCCAGATGCTCGAGTCCTCAGCTTCAGCCTGTCTAGTTAAACCGCTCCCTCCCTCAATCATGTGCTGGTAAAACAGGAATGAGAGAAGGATGAGACGCATGGGACCAAAAACAGAAACCAGGTGTCTCCATCAGTAGGAAGTTCCATAAGGGCTGTCCAGCAAATATGAGTGTCACCATGGCTCCCCTCTATGTGGCCCCAGACCTAAAATGAAGACACTCCACGGGAAGACAGGAGAGACTTACAACAGCCTCTGCAGAAAGCACTTTGGGTGTCTCAAGGTCATGTACAGCAACTTGGCGCCCTCATCCAGGAGCTCATTTGCCATGAGGTTCAAACATATGAGGGACTGGTTCATTTCGAGGGAGGAGGACAAATCAGCCCACTGCTGAGTGGTGGCAGAACAGGACACCAACCTGCAGGGGAAACGGGAACAAGTCCTTGAGACCCAAATGTCAGTGGCTGTCTCCAGTTTCCTCCCTCACTCCCCTCCACGTGTTACACCCTGGAGCACAGTTGTCAAAGGGTGGTCCCTGAACCAGCAGCGTCACCGTCCTTAGAAATGCCAACCCTCAGAAACCCTGCATGTACAGTCCAGTGACCTATGTTTTAAGGTGCCCTGCAATCACCTGGAAGGTATGTTAAAATAAATTCTTGGGCCATATACCCAGAATCTGACTGAGAAGATCTGGGTGAAACCCAAGGATTTGGATTTTAACAAGTCCCCAGGTGAACTTGCTGTCGCCTTTGGTCTTGAAACCACATGTTGAAAACTAGTTGTTTAGAAATCCAGCCAATCAAGCATATCATGCAACAATGGCAGCTACATCCCACCCCTGGAGATGGATATTCTCATTATGGGCAAGTGAAATTTCATTGGAACATTATGTGTATCATTGTAGCCACTGGAGTGAGAGGTTTCTAAAAATTTCTGGTTCTTCCATTTACTATGTATGAATATGTGGTCAAGTTACCTGAATTTCTGAAACCTCATTTCCATCTTTAAGCTGGCAATAAGTCATACCCTCATGTTGAGTGTGCAAAATTGATAATTCACATGAAATTCACAAGTGAAATATATGCCACAGAGCTAAAATCCACAAAAATTCAGCTAAAACACTTTCTTCTCTTAGAGTCTCCACTATAATAGAGGAACCACAGGGAACTGGAACACAAAGTAGAATGTTAACTGCTTCCAATAAAATAAGCCAAACTTATATGGCATCGTGTCTCCTTCCATTTTGGGTATTCATTTATTCGTTGAGAAACAAATTAGTGACTCAAATCTCTAAATGACACAATGTATTTTCCTGGTGAATCCTGGTCAGTGATGAATTCATATATGCTTGGATATGGTTGCACTCAGTTCCCAAGTCCTCGTGAGATGTGCATCATTCCATGCTACTGATGGCGAGCAGACTTAAATAGCTCAAGATCATGTCAGTAGAGGAAGAGCCACAAGTTGAGACTAATAGGTCACCTATTGAGACTAATAGTGTACCTATTACTACTTGAATGTGGCCATGTGATCAATGAAACCCGATGATGAGTTATAATTGTCACCGGAGCAACCACATGGAGAACTTCCCAAGGGGACTCTCTCAAACCAGGGGACGGCCAGGGAAGGGAAACCTGGTTTTCCTGAAGTTTCCCCTCTGGGAAAGATGAGGCCAGCAGCTGATATCATGAATCATGATGTAGGAGAAACAGGAACCATAGACAAATGATCCCTGATTGAGGATGATATCCTGTTTCTGGGAGTTTCTTGGACTCAGGGCTGTTATGTACAGTTGTCTAGATTGTTCATTGATCAACAGAAGTGGAAACTAAACTTCAGCGCATTTCCTATTCTGAAACATGTGCCCTAAGTGGTATTGTTTCCAATCAGAAAAAGTGATTCCCCCCACCCCTGCCTCTAATTTACACAGAATTGCTGGATAGGTGTGTAGCAGTTCTGTTTGTTTGCTGAGAGTTCTTAGCAATGGCGAGACATACCTGAGATACTTCAGATTACATTTTGGGTGCCTCAAGACCTCACACAATGAGGGAAGCATATTGTTTTGGTCGTTTCCTTGAAGAGTCAGGTGTGTTAGGGTCTTGTGACCACAAAAAATGATGCAGAACTTCTGGTAAGCGTCAGCTGGAGAAATGTTTTTGAGGCTAGGACAAATAAAACGAAGGTGAGATCTTGAGTTCCCATACCTATGCTGCATATACGTAGTAACATAGGGCTGCAGCATGTTTAAATGTTAGAAACTATTTTTCATATATTTTGCCTTTATTGAGGTATTATTGACAAATAAAAATTGCATATATTTAAGGTGCACAACTTAATGTTTTGATACACATGTACCTGATGAGGTCGTTGCCACAATCAAGCTAATGAGCATAGCTATCACCTCTTATAGTTATCATTTCCTGTTTTGTGTGTGTGTGTGTGTGTGTGTGTGGTGAGAATGTTTAAGATAAATTTTCTTAGCAAGTTTCAAGTGTACAATGCAGTAGTGTTAACTGCCATCGCATTGCTGTTCATTAGGTCTCCAGAACTTATTCATCTTGCATGTCTGAAACTCTGTACCCCTTGACTAACAACTCATTTTAGAAACTATTAGAAGTTCCAGTTTCTTTAGTCATCTCAGATTTCTGCCAAAGAGAAGTCAATCATAAGCTATCACTCCAGACAAAAGATGTTCTATGGCTTGTTGAAAAAGGTAAGGATAATATCTCTTTTCCCTGATGTGGTAGCAA